GGATAAAATTTAAAAAGAAAAAGGAAACCAAGCTGGCAGTTGGTTCTCGGGCCCATTTGTCTCTGAGTAAGGAGTGCTCTCTGAGCTGGTGCTGGGGAAGAGGTACAGACAGTTCCAACTTAAGGTGATACAGGTTCCAACTTTTCAGCTCTGTGAATGTGCAGCAAGAGCAAGACATGCTCAGTAGAAAACTTTTGCTGCCAGGGACATAGCTCAGTGGCATAAGCGCCTGCCTGGCAAGCACAAGGGCCTGGGTTTGATCCCTGGTACCATATACTGTGCCAGCCCCAAAATCCTGAGTGTGCCATGCTGGCCACTGAAACTGGGCATAGTGGTGCACGCTTGTAATTCCAGTGCTGGGGAGGCTGAGACAGGAGGATCACTATGAATCCAAGCTGCATATGAAGACCCTGTACCAATACATAAATAAAAGATTAAAAAAAAATTTTTTTAGAAACCTCTTTATAAGTTAGTAAATTGCCTAGGCTGAGCTCAAACTTGTGATCTTCCTGCCTCAGCCTTTCACGGTACCAGGATTGCAGGCATGCACCACCATACCCAGCTAGAGACTGTATCTCGAACATTGATCTCCTGGGCTGTTGATATTTGGTACTCCCCCTTGCAGCCAGGCAGTCCCAGGGAACCACGGTACCTGGTCTTGAAATCACAAAGCCATAAGGAGAAACAGCCAACGTTAACATCGTACCGTGTTACTAAGAGATGATGTTGGGCAGGCTAGGTTTGGTGCATGCATTTCTGACTTAATGATATTGTAACTAGCATAAAGTTCATGGGATGTAACCTGATCATTAATCAGGGAGTGTCTATATATAAAAATGTGTAGGGCTGTGGAGGTAGCTTGGTGGTCTAAGCAACTGCCTGGCAAACACAAGGACCCTGCTTTGATCCCCAGTACTGCATGCTGTGCTGGCCCTGGGTGCTGAGCCAGATCATAATGAGTTTGAACTGTGTAGCGAGAAAATTTTTTTTTCTGTGGAACCGGGGATTGAACTCAGGCCCTTGTGCTTGCCAGGCAAGCGCTTATTCTACTGAGCTATCTCCCCGGCCCCTCGAGAAAATTTAAAAACAAAAAAAATGTAAAATAGCTGTGCTGGTTCTTATCTGTAATCACAGCATTTTGGGAGGCTGAGACAGGAGGACCACAGGTTCAGGCCCAGCCTGGACAATTGCGATTTAGGAAGACCTTGCCTCAAAATTAGCCACATTGGGCCAGCCAGATAGCTCAGCGGAGTACAGTGCCTGCTTAGGCAGGCTTAGCGACCTGGGTTTGATCTCCAGCATGCCATGTTGGCCCACCCCTGGGTCTCGCTGAGACAGCAACTGAGACTGGGTGTGATGCAGCCCACCTGTAATCCCAGCACTTGAGAGGCTGAAAACAGGAGGATCACGATGAGTCCAATCTGTGTAGTGAGACCCTATAGACCCCATACTAAATACATTTAAAAAAAGAAGAAGAAGAAAAAGAAAAGGAAACATAGAATAGCCCTGGAGATGTAGCTCAGTGATTGGGCCCTGGGTTCAATCCCAGGACTGCAGAAAAGAAGAAAAACATTCCATGCCTGACTCACCATAGGTCTCCAGTTGGTGGCCATGCCAATCTGCTTCTTCAGGGATGTTAGGGTTAGTTTCGGGGAGGCTAAGCGAGCTGGGTGTCTGTGATGCTAACGTCCTGGCCCCACTGCTGCCCCTGCTGTCCTGCAGAGGACATATCCGTGGTGTTCAGCACAGCCTCCTGGGAAGGCCGGGCCGACTTCTCCCAGGCTGATGTACACCGGCAGATCGCCATTGTCTTCAAGACGCCGCCCTACGAGGACCTGGAGATCCTGGAGCCTGTGACTGTCAATGTCTTCCTGCAGCGGCTCACCGATGGGGTCTGCAGCGAGCCACTGCCTTTCACCTACCTGCCCCGGGACCATGGTAACCTTGGCCAGGCCTTTGGCTGTGCTTGGGGCAGTGGCAACTGGGGTGGGGGTGGGGGTGGAGCCCAGCCTCAGAGCTCCCTAGAGTGGGGCTTCCCTGCCTGGGCCTCCTGTGTGAAACAGATGTAGGGCCTGCTCCTGGAGTAGGGTGGTGCTGGGAATCCATTGGTGACCAAGACAGCTCCCAGCCCTGTCTCCAGGAAGTTCACCGAGATGACCAGAGTGGGCAGGACTGGAATAGAGAGGTTCAAGGGACTTGATGGCCAAAGGAGGCAGCCTAGAGGTCAGGAAAGGCTTCCTGGAGGGGGAGCTACTGAACTGAGGACTGGAGGACGGCTGAGCCAGTCCTCTGGGGCATGGTGGAAGTTGAGGATGAGTGTTGTAAGCAGCCAGCAAGTGCAAAGGTCCTGAGATAGGATGGCACCTGAGGTGTTCTGGTGCCAATAACAGAGGTCAGAGTGGCTGGAATCAACATGGACTTTTATTTGCATTTTCTCAAAAGCCAGCTCAGCTATCTCCTAAGTAGTCTCTGACTGGTTACCGGTTAGTTACTGTTATTGATAGATCACTGCTTGTATGCCCCTGGCATTCCTGAACAGACACCTACGGCGTGGACAAGAAGCGGAAACGGGGGATGCCCGACGTCCTTGGGGAGCTGAACAGTTCCGGTGTGTTCCCCCTGCTCCTTTTGTACTGTCCTCAGGTCCCTGGGAGGGTGTAGCCAAGCCCCCACCTCACCCTGTGAAGGTGTCATCATCTCTGCCCTCCCTTTCCTTAGACCCCCATGGAATTGAGAGCAAACGGCGGAAGAAGAAGCCAGTCTTCCTGGACCACTTCCTGCCCAGCCATAGCTCAGGTGGGTCCTGG